GGCAACTTCTCCACGACAAAGCTGTACAGTTGTACCCCCCCCCCCCCCCCCCCCCCCCCCCCCCCCCCCCCCCACACACACACACACACACAAAGTCAATCAGCAAGGTTTTGTTTTTCTTGTTGTGTACAATTCAGCCAGTGCGTATGTTGCCACCCTGCCTTTTTCCTCGACTTATGTTTACTCAGTCGGTAATAACCTGCAACAACGTGTCCGCTGCAGGGCTTAGAAAGACTAGATTATTTCCAGCAAGGAAGGTTTCTACCATAAGCTCAACAGCGTTATAGGGTGGTAGATGGCTGAACTCAGCCCTACAGTATTTCCAGTCTCCTTTGAAGCTTGAACACCAGAGGTGCTCCCTTGAAGAACATAGAAGAGGGCATCTATGCCTGAGTGGCCTTTTTTAATCCGAGCACAGCTCTGGTCTCTTTTTGGGGAAGAACTCTTATGCCGGCCTCATCGGGGAACAAGGAAGTCTAGGGTTTCCACAGCCAAGCAGACGTCCAGGGTTTAGGATTTATATAGCCAAAAGGGCAAGCGGGGCTTCAGCCACAGTAAGGTGATTGGGAAGAGGAGGGTATTTGCCTCTCTATGGCCATTGGGAGTAGGGCTTAGTAAAGGATAGGTCAGGGGGATAGCTCCGGCGCCGTTTCTGCAGCTCTTCCAATTTTTGTCCTGGTTTTGCTTCGCTGGGGTGGTAGCATTTGAATTGGGCTGCTGGTCCCGGTTTTTCAGCACAAGCTGAACCTGGTTAATGGCCCCAGCTCCCCAGGTCGTTTGTGGAGGAATTCCCGGCCTCCTTTCTGTTGTAATAATGAAATGTTTTTGTTTTTTTTTTGACAAAACAGGTCCTTATGATCCTGGCTCGAATGCTTCGAGTGTATCTGGGAGTCTATTTACATACAAGCTGAGAGGAACTCAAGAAGAAAAGGCCAGCCAGACAGTCAATCCTCCAGCAAGGAGTCATCAATGATGTTCAAGGGTTCCTTCAACCGTAGTGGAGGCAAGAGTTAAAGAAAGAAAATGTTAAGCTGTTCAGTATTCCATCACACTCTTTTCTATTCTACAAACACGCTTGAACACATACAAACAATGGGTATAAGAATTTGAAATGTTCTTTGACTATCAAGTTATCAACTATGAGGGCACAAATAGAGGTTACATATTTGTATGTAATTTATCAAAGTCAGAGATCAATTTTGATCTTTTTGCGTAGTGAAGGATTTAGAAAAAGACAAAAGCAAAGGTGCACAGTGCACACTGAGTATCGAGGGTGACAAAACAGACAAGGAGCAGACCTGGACCTCACACCATATGTTGTCTTCCGGTCGGAGGACGGTTTGGGGGTGTCGGGGGGTTGTATGGGGGTATTGGGGATGTGACGTTCAACCTCACACCATATGTTGTCTTCCGGTCGGAGTGTCTAATATGGGGGAAAAAAGGCCCTGAAAGAACAGCAAAATGGGGTGTGCCACTGTGCCAAGGATTTTTCGGAAAATTGAGTGCCAACACACAGACAGAACTGAAATCTCCCGTGTGGTCCCAGTTTTAGAGAAAATGGCCACCACCCCACAGAAAAAGCGGGCGTGCACAGTTGTCAACATCTATCTAGTCCAAACCGGTCAGAGTGTCTAATATGCGGGGAAAAATGCCCTGAAAGAACAGCAAAATGGGGTGTGCCAAGGATTTTTGGGAAAATGTACGGAGACAGAGACAGAACTGAAATCTCCCGTGTGGACCCCACAGAAAAAGCGGGCGTGCACAGTTGTCAACATCTATCTAGTCCAAAAAGTATCTTTGAACTTCCACGCGGGCTACGGAACGATTTTTTGAACGGAAAAGCGGGGGTACACTTGTGGGATCACGTTTTCGAATTAGATCTCACTGTCGCTCGCCACAGAGTTCAGAATCCGACATGGAGGGTCGCCGTCTGGTCGCCCGTTCTTTGAACTCGTCCTCACCACATGTCCGATAGTGGAACACTCTGATAACGCTCTGTGCGGCAGCAATCACTGCAGAGAGTGTTAGGCCAATGGGGTGCTACTGCCATCCACGGGATGACAGTCAACTCGTTGAAGGGTAACAACAGGGAATAAGGCGGGAAATGAGTATGGGCAATCACAAACCCAGAACACCTCGTTTCCGGAGGGAAATAATATCCTCAGATCCTTGCTACAGCTTCTTGTACGCCCCACTTGCATACACGTGGCCTTTCCTCGTTATACGGGAACGGGCGCTGTGGGGGTATGAGAGGTCGGCGCCCAGTCAGAGCTGTGTGGTCAGTCCACATGGCATAAGGTCGTTAGTTTTCGTTTGTCTAATCCAGCCGTCATTCTGGCAGCCTTCGCTTGAGGGAAGAACGGAGTTGAGACAAAGCTGAGTTAATCCAAAGAAAGAACAATAAAACCGAAATCACATTTCATTCAAGACATGAAAGCAGCAGATCAATCATTGTCGTAAATTTGCACCATGCATCATACCAAAGAAAAGACAGAGAGAAAAAGCAAGATTGCATGTCCTCGTTGGCCCCTTAAAGTCCGATGAGGCTCGTCCCCGCAAGATCCAATCAAACTAAAGAGACAAGCCGGGTGATAACTCAGGTACAAATAAGGAAGTCGTCTCACCATCCAATCATTCAGAGAGAGAGAGAGAGAGAGAGAGTGAGAGTGTTGACAAAGCTGTGACTTGGCCGAAAGAACAGACACCAATATACAGGCATGCAAGTGCAATCAGACTAGACTTATTCACTCTTTTGATGCACGTGAACAGCAACACACAACTGGCGACATGCGCCCACACAGTACACAAAGATACTTCTTCCAGGTAAGTTCGCTTCCACTGGCTATGGCGACTAAGCGCCCAGACAACTCACTGTTCACACTTTGGATCACCCTGGATGTCCCACACGCAACACTCTGTAACCACACGCAACACACACACACACACTACTATAGCTATGGCAGC